TGTTTAGGTCGGACGTCGCATCCTTAGTACCTTATAGTACGTGCATCGAGAAGCCCATTATGAGTAACAATGTTGTAAAGATATGTTCAAATTGTATTTATTTTCTGAATGATAAATTATATCGTTTCTAAACGATTACTTTCTATCGAATAAATGATAATCCTCTTTTGAATTGCATTCATGGCATCCATAGAGTATTGTTATTATTATTGTTATTGATATCGCTATTGTTACAGAGATCTCTGTTAGTTCCGAATCTTGGAACTATTGTTATTGTTTGATGGCCATCAATTGATTGTTCGGTCTTTAAGACCTATCGTATTGTTGCTATTGGATGTAGACCTATATGAATATGATTGATTGAATTGAACGATTGATTGACAAAATGGTACTGATTGAAAATTTTCTATTGATAATCGATTGTTTCAAAAACTGTAAGGATATCATTCTTAACCTCTTTACACATCTGTTATTCACTGGGTTTTAGCTCACAGTTTATTATATATATATAGGTGGCCAGGCACCAGATCAAAGCTAGAGGCGTCAACCCAAACCCTTGTTTTGTCAAGCCAACTATTGTGCCTCCTTGCGAGGTTCCGAACTAGCATGTGTCAAGGCTTTTTGGGTGGTCCAAATTCATCATTTTTTAGTTTCTTACGTGAGAAGAATGTTTTAAGACTATTGTTAATACTGCTTTTGATGATGGGATTAATTCTCTAACTTGTATTTAGTCTTGTATATATGTGTTTATGGCCATAAATGGTTATGGATATGGCTATGTATATGAAAGTTTATTTCCATTTAGATCCTTACAGCTCATTGGACATTATCTTATTATTGATTGGCTTTCACCAGCTCTTTTATATTGTATTATTGTCATTATTGTTAAACAGACCTTGGTAATCACGGATTATTGGCCGGTTACGACGCTAAACCTATTGAGACGGGTTTGGGTCGTGAAAATAAATAAATTTTTAAAGAAAAATGTCCAATCCGCAAACCGTCCGCATATCCACGAACTTTATCTGCACAAACCACAACTGTAACAACCCTGACCCATGATTAACTATTAATCCATGATTATACGTAATTAAGAGGAAATCATGTGTTAAATGCATGAATTATATGTTAATTGAATTATATGCATGTATATCTGTTTATCGTAAAAGTATCTGTTTGTGTCTCTGTTTGGTTCTGTGAATTGAAAATCTTATCGGCATCCGATCATGAAATTAACTTGATTTATATGTTATTTGGAATATTTAGAATTTTATGGTAGGTTGAATTGAAATTCGATTCGGAACCAAATAATTAGAATAAACTGATTCCAATTATTAAGTTTCATTAATTGAGCCTATATAAGGCTAATTTGACTCCATGAGTTCATGTTGCACCTTCATTTCATCCTGTTTGAGCTCCAAACATGAGGGTGAGTAAGAAGAGTGAGCTTAGAGTCATTTTGGAAAGGAATTAAGCTCAAGTTAAGGGAATTGCTAGGAAGTGAAGGCATTGGACTTAGAGACTCAAGAATTAAGCCTCTAGTTCTCACTTTGGAAAGCCTAGGTAAGAATTCAACCCTTAGATTGTACATTATAATGTTTAGGACATGAATTCTAGAGAATTAAGTTGTGTAATACAAGAATTGAGTTAATAAGTTGGTAGAAAGATCATATCATGCATACATGTTCATTTCACCACAATTTGAGTTTGATTTCAAAGAATTCTCACATGCATGTGCTTCTCTTGCTTTTGTTTTAAGAATTCAACATGTTTTTATGCTTAACACCTCATTTAAACAAGCTTTGAAGCTACGAACTTTCACACATGTTATGTTCATGAAACATCAAGTATGATTTCACATAATTGACATGCTTTTAAGCCTTGATTTTTGCAAAATGATATTCAATTCATGATATTCTATAAATTTCCAAATGCTTTCTTGAGTTTTGGCCTAAGAGGATGAGTTTTGATGTGTTAAATTCGAGTTTTGAGCTTGGGAGTGCAATTTGAAAATTTCAGAATTCTGCTTCTCCGCTCAAGCGATAAATCCTACACTCGAGCAACTACCTTTATTTTTGCACCTCCACTTGAGCGACAAAAAGTTGGCTTGAGCATAAATTGCCTGCTCCCAGAAGTTTCCATGTTTTGCAGACCGCTCGAGCGAAGACCTCAGTCTCACACTAGAACGACCGTCAAGCGTGCATCGAGAGGAAAAATCAAGCAACTAGAACTTTTGCAAAGTTTACAGACCGCTCGAGCGAGGCCCCTGTTTTCAACATATTTGACTAAGTGTTTTCAAGTGCATTTTAGCATCCTCATTGCATCCTAGGCATTCTTAGACCAAGATTAAGATATAATAATGAGGATAAGACTTAGAAACACACAAAAAACGAAATGACATAAGTTAAGTACGATCCGAGCGTGTGTTGTATGTGTATCTGTTATGTTTGTGTTGGTCACGCGCCATGAGCTGTTAATCCATTGGTTGCTATCAAGCTATCTGTGCAACTATCAATGAGTAATAACTTAGTAAACCTATGTTTGATATGAAGTACTTTCTGGACATTATGATATAATATGAACTGTTTCTAAATGATACAAAAGGCTATTTTGTGATTCCATGAATGATGATCCATAGCTTTGACATATATTTGTGGTATCCTTAGCAGAGGCCCTCGCCCAGAGGACATAATACTGTGGCTTATGGTCATGAGGCTCTCGCCCGGGGAAAAGAATACCGTGGCCAGGCCTTTGCCCAGGGAAAACAATACCGTGGCCCATGTATGAGATATGTTACCCGACACTGGAGGTTCCATTATGGAACTTGATATGCTTGACCAAAGTAATATGTTAATGATAATGGAAGTACCACACATGATTTGAATACAATTATGAACATGATTTTATTTTTGATACGACCATGCTTATCTCTCTGATTGATATGATATGATATGAAATTGAACATCATTTATTAAAATCTTTACTCTATTATTATTCACTGGACTTTCGTTCGCTCTATTATTTATGTATATAGGTGACCAGACACGTGACCAGGCTCAAAGTTGATAACTTGGAGTTTTAGTTGTTAGCCAGCCTTTGCGCCTCCCGAGGAGGTTCCAAATGTCAAGTGGTCATGTTTTGTGAACATATATAACACTTTGTTTTTATTTTGGAATACGTACAAGTTTTCTGTTTATCTATATATTGGGCTAAGTCCCTTTTTGGTTATATCTATAATGAATGTGACGTAAGACTACTATATTTATGACGTCACGTATATGTATATAAAGTTTTGAAATTTTTGTCCTATATATGTCTACACAGCTCAATGGACTATGTATATTTCTATATTTGCTTCCGCTAGCCTCTTATAATTTGCTAATCAAGTCGGAGGCCTTCGGTAATCCGAGGATTACTAGCCGGTTACAACGCTAAATCTATAGGTACGGGTTTGGGTCGTCACAGTAATCCGCATTGCGGGTAGTTGCGGGTTCAATTTTTCCGAAACCACACATATACGAGTAGGTCCAAACCGCAAACCGAATCATCCAAAACCGAACCGCGAGCACTCCTACTTTACGTGTGACATAGTAGATTGACTTTAATTTGGACAAGTCTCCTTGGGCCATGTAAGTTCTTGTGATTGGGGATTGCTTTTTATGGCTGCCATATCATCTGTTTGGTATTGGTATAACCATCAGCTGTATGATCCTGACTTTAAGAAGACTTTTTGACTTGTTGAATATATTAAAGGAGTAGTGAGAGAATTTCATTTGAATCGAGATAAACTTCTGCATGCCAAGAAACCCTTTTACCATCACCATTGCTTGGACTTTTCCCCTATTGGTTGGGTGAAGGTTAATGTTGAAGGGGCTGTTTCTCACGCATAATGGGCAAGTTATTTGTGGAGGTTTGATTAAGTCTGATCGAGGGGACTGGATTAGGGGATTAATGCATCATGTGGATTGTTTGACTACTCTCGTTGCTGAGCTATGGGCTATTTGGCAATGTTTACATATGGTTTGGTCTCAAGGACATCGCCTGTTATCATTGAATCGAATTCTGCCGAAACGATCCATGCTATTCAATATATCAACATTGCCCACCCAAATTTCAATCTTGGTTAGGAGTTAGGGAGCTGTTGGGGAAAAAATTGCAGTGTGAGTTGCAGCAAATTTAGCGTGAAGCAAATGTCTGTGCAGATATCATTGCGAAAGATGCTCTTAATTTGCGAGGCCTACATGAAAATTATGGTAGATGCCTCGCCTATGTTGGCAACGGTTATTGAGAGTGATAAGCAGGGGGTTAGTTCCTGCAGTGTTCTTAGGTTGTAGTCTTTCTTTCTTTGGCTTCGGCCTAATTATTACCTAAAAAAAACACAAGGGAAATTCTACTAAAAAAATTAATTTATTTGGAGGGAGAACATTATTTGATAATGACTTAAAAGGTAATTTATTGTATAAAAAAATTTATTTTGTTAAAACTGTCAAGGAAAAAAAAATAATTTTAATCATTTAAAAATATAGGGGTATACATGGTGTAATTCGGTGTGGTTTGAGAATAAAATTAAAATTAAATCATAGATGGCAGATTAATAAATTTGTTATCCGTAATCAAATCGTAATTTGAGTGTATTAATCGATTGAAAATAAACTTAAACAATTATCAAATATTTGTATTATATATAATACCAATTTCAATAATATTTTTCATATATAACATTAATTAATTTTACACAAATTTTTCATATATATAACATTAATTTGTATTAAATTTCACATCTTAAATCTCTTTTACATAAATTTTTACTTTAATATTTTCTTATAAATAAAAATATATATCTATATAATAAGGAAGCTCAGATTTTTACTCTAATGGGACTTTTGTCCCTTTGTCGATACATGGACCGTTAGATTGAATTCAATCCAATGGCTCACAATATCTAATCACCTTATAGTTTCTCTCTCTCTCACTCTCACACACACACTCCTCTCAAATTTTCAACACTCTCTTTCAAATTTTGAACACAGACGTCTCTCTCTCTCTACATTACTCTCTTCATCTTCTCTATTTCTCTATTCCTCTGAACCGCCCTAAGCCCCAACAAACCCATCTCAATCCCTCTCTTTACATTACTCTCTTCATCCATTCCTTTGAATTGCCCTAACAAACCCATCTCAATCCCTCTGAACCGCCCCAAAATTCTTTAACTTCACCGCTGGCCGAATCCAAGCTCTACAACTGGCGTGGCTCCGACACAGAGGTAAAGAATTTCTCTCCATCATCCGAAGACCAGAGTCAGATGTGCGAACCCTCCTCCAAATCCACAGAGGTAAAGAATTTTTCTTTGTTGTTTAATCATATATAAATTATTGATTTTCTTTGTTGTTTTCTCTCATATTAATCAACAAATCAGACATTTTTGGAGATTAATCTAGATAGCTTTTTGGGGATTAATCTAGACAGTTTTTTGTATCAAAATGGGACAATTTTTTGGGGATTAATCTAGACATTTTTTTGTTTTGGTTGGGAAGGTTTGTTTTGGTTGCCTATTTTGCCATTATTATTATTTTTTTGGGGTCTGTTTTACCATATTAATCTAGATAGCTCTGTTTTTTCATTTCTGTTTTGGGTCAGATAATTTGGGTTGCCTCAAATTTTTTTCTACATTTTAGGTTTGAACTAATAAATGTAAACACGATAATAACCAACTACCAACATCCGTGGACACATGTCCGGATCACTGTACAACAAGGGTAAACCCGGGATCGCTATAATGACCTAATAAGTCATATTAAATTTATATACACTCCCAAAAGCTTTTTAACGATATGCATCCAAAGTTATAATCACAGTAGTTCATAATCTTAAAAAAATATCATAAATCCTCATAACTAAGGCTACTTAAATTTATAATTAAACATCACAAAATTTTATAACCAAAACCATCATGGGTTATAACCATAAACACTACAAAGTTCATCATAAATTTGAACATCACAAAATCTTATAACTAAGTGCCACAAATCATTAGAATTCTGGTGCATGTTACACATTTTTTCAATGTTTATTTTATAACCAAAACCACCATGTGTATCAAAGAATTTTTCAATGTTCGATAACCATTCTACTAAAATGTTCGATAACCAAACTTTATTAATAAAATGTTCTGATTGTTGATTTTATCAAACATTTTATGAAACTTTTTATCAAACATTTTATCAAACTTTTTCACAGTGAGTATTGTTTTTCTTTAATTTTCTAGATGCATATAGGATTTTGGGTATACTTTTATGGGTTTTGTTGATTTTTCTTATTCATACATATTATCTATGTATATATACACAGACATATATGAAGAGTTGGTTGGGTTCCACGAAACCCATTTACTTTGATTTAGTAGGAATTTGTGGGACTATTGTATTGAGTTACTCTATTGAATGGTTGTTGTGCCATTATTATTGTTTGGTTGTTACAAAAATGTTTGATAACCATTCTATCTTCCTTGCTTATTAAGTGTCTGATAAAATGTTTCGATGGAATTTACACACACACACAAATTGTCTTTAACACACACCACACACAACACACATTGGTAATTTTCATCATAAAAATTCGTAACTATCTTATGATTTGCATCCTTTTTTTCTTTTTTTTTTTGACAAATAAACAAACTTTATTAATATGATGTGCATCCTTTTAAGAGTGGACATTATTAATTTCCCCTAATATATGAGAAATCAATATTCAGCCAAGAAAATGCATTAAAAAAATATATATATATTCAAAGAACAAGATTGAAACCTTAAACAAATAAATTATGGGTTTGTTGGGCGCTCTGTTCTGCAAAGTAAAGGTAATACTCTCATCTATTTCTTAATAGATTATTGTGTGTATATATATTGATTACAATTTTTTTTTTGTTTTGTTTTTTTTCTTTGAAGCCATAGGGACCATCAATTGATCATTAGTGGAATAGAGAAAGAACGATTCCCAAAATCAAACTGTGAGCATTGTTTTTCTTTAATTTTCTAGATGCATGTAGGATTTTGGGTATACTTTTATGAGTTTTGTTGATTTTATAACCAAACATTGGTAATTTTCATCATAAAAATTCATAACCATCTTATGATGTGCATCCTTTTTCTTTTCTTTTTTTGACAAATAAACAAACTTTATTAATATGATGTGCATCTTTTTAAGAGTGGACATTATTAATTTCCCCTAATATATGAGAAATCAATATTTAGCCAAGAGAATGTATTAAAAAAAAAATTCAAAGAACAAGATTGAAACCTTAAACAAATAAATTATGGGCCAAAATTAAAAAAATAAATTATACAAAAACAAATCAAACCTAAACTTAGGTTTTTGTACAAGAAAAGCAATTGTCAAAATTGACCTGACCTACTTTGGTCAATTTGATAGAGATAAAGTCATTCTCATTCATTTTTTATTTTTGCAATCTCTTTGATCAGAAGTACCATATGTATATACTTTTATGGCATTCAAAGAATATTCAATAATTTTTCAAGTATGATTTAATTATTTAATGTTACAACAAGTCAATTGGACGAATTAATTGTTTTGTACAAATTTCTTTTCCTTTTCCTTATTGTGATTTAAAATTTCTTTTCCAATTGTCAGTGCTGAATTTATCTGTGAATAGAATCAGTAATAAACTTATATTTTCCCTACAAATTTGGGTACTCTATTTTTTGTCATCCCATCATCCCCACCATCACCAACAAAGCTCTCACTCTCTATCAAAATCAAATGGGGGTTAAAAGGAAGAAATTAGTTTCATGTTAATACCTATTTTTATTTCATGTTAGTCAAATGGGTTGAGGATTGTCAACATTAAATGGGTTAATGTGAACATTAAGGTTAACCTGACTGTTAACGTTACGCCGAAAATAATATAGATGGTCATATTTTTTACTCATAGTTTCTAATTAGAAAAAATATTTTTTGTATTTACTTAAGCTTTATCTAGAACATTATTTACTGGTGATTTGCAGAATGATGATGAGTTGTGGTGCACAGCGGATGTGAGTAGGGTTTTGTTTTGGGATAATGTTTTTATACTTTTTTATTATTATTATTATTATTATTTTGAGAAGTGCTCTTCCTGATTTTGGATTTGGCGCTCCTTCATTTCTAAAAGATATATTTTGTTTATGGTGATTCTTTTGGATATATTTATTTATTTATTGTTACTTTTTTTCAATTGTTTTTGGTATTGGTATATATCTAAGAATGTTTCAGTTGCAGTAAGAGTGCTTCAAAGTTGAAAATCACTTCCAATTTAATTGTTTTATTTACATTTATGGTAATTTGTGTATGAAGCATTGTGTTTGTGGTCCTATATATCTGAATCATTTCTTTAAATTTGCTTAATAAGTTCATATTAGAGAGCTTGAGGAAGAAGTGAAACTTCTTAACAACCTTTCGCTTCTGAACTTTGTGGTAAGTATCTGATTTGCATTCTTACTAAAGCATTTTAATGTTTCCTTTTGTTGGTCATCCTTTAGAAAATAATTCAAATATCTTTCTGTGCCTATCCATAAATTCTTCAAAAGGTAAGGTATAACTTCCAATTTCTGGTTGTAATAATAACATTCTAATGATTTGAGCACATGCAAGTTTGTTCAAATATAAGTGATGATCCTCGCCACCATACATAAAACTTTAAACCCAAATCAAAGTCTAATTTTTCAAGGCAATTAAAATCCATTGGGGTTTCTGTTTTATAATTTGTTGTGGTATTGCTTTGTTTTCACTTAAAATCTATTGGCTTTTGTCTGGTTTCCTTTGCTTATATAGAGTTATGAGCCATTATATTGGTTTTCATTTTTCTGGATAATTAATTATTTTCTTTTATCCACCAATGTCGATAGCTATTATGGGCAGTTTGGAAGTTGATTTCAATAATTTTCCATGATTCTTTGATTTTGAAGCCCAACACATGCTCTACATAGTTGATTTGTGGTGATTCTCTCTCTCTCTCTTTCTCTCTCTCTCTCTCTCTCAAGATTTATATTTAATGGGTTCAATAACTTTTTCATGGTGAGCACCAAACTTAGATTTTTAGATATATTTTTCATGTGAATAGGTTGTTATTTCGTGCTTTTATTGGCATATTAGTACGGGATTTTAGGGTTTTTAGTATGTTGTTATTGCATTATTGTACAAAGAGGTTTTCATTTGAACATTTCTCACCTTTATTTTTTCCCCCCAATAGTTAATGTACATTTGTAATCTCATCACACACCACTAGTTGAGCCCACGTGTGTTTGGATTTTGTTTTAGGCTGAAGATTCATAATGGAATGATTCCCACTCACTCCCACCCCCTATCTTAGTTATATCTAAATACAATTTTAGTTTTTTTAATTGGTACAAATCTATTCAATTTCCATGGAATTCGAAACTTTACCAATGGAAGCAATTTCAAGTTGAGGCATGAGTTATAGATATAAAACGTAAATTCATGACTTAATTTGTTTTATACTTATAGAAGTTGAGTTGGAGTTTTTATTTACTAAGATTTCAAATTCATGATTAATGATTAATTTCAAGTTTTTATTCAAATTCAAATTCATGACTTAATTTCAAGTTTTTATTTACTTATAGAAGTTGTGTTAATGATTAATATTTGAAATTTTTAATCACACATTTTAATTAAAGTGTGATTATATATACATTACTACATTTTAATCACACTCCCTAAATAGGTGTGATTGTATTTTTCGTCTTCCTATCTCTCTGGCTCTGTCTCTCTTCTCTCTCTCTCTCTCACTCATCACTCTTCTCTGTCTATTTGTCTCTCTCTTTCTCTCTGTGTCTCTGTCTCTCTTATTTTTCTCTCTCTCACTCATCACTCTTCTCTGTCTGTCTGTCTGCCTGTCTCTCTCTTTCTCTCTGTGTCTCTCGTCCATCTTTCTTCTGTCTATCTCTCTCTCTCTCTCTCTCTCTTTGTCTATATCTTTTCATCCATTTTTTCATCTTCCTCTCTCTCTTCTCTTTCTCTCTCTCACTCATCACTATTTTCTTTCTGTATATTTGTCTCTCTCTCTGTGTGTCTCTCACTCATCTATCTCTTCTCTCATCTATTTTCTCTCATTGTCTCTTTCGCTCATCTCTCTCTGTCTCTCTCGCTCATCTCTCTTCTCTCTATCTCTCTCTCTGTCTCTCTCGTTCATCTCTCTTCTTTCTATGTCTCTCTCGCTTATCTCTCTTCTCTTTATCTCTCTCTCTCTCTCTCTTTTTCTATCTCTCACTCTCTATCTCTTTATGTTTTTGTCCCTCTCTTTCTCTTCTCTTTTTTTTT